CTTTAGGCTCAATCCAGAGGTTATTTTGCTCTGTTTTGAACATTCCAAGGTTTGAGCATAAGACATGCAAAGCAGTTCAGCTGGTATGGCAGCTCCAGCTCCGTTTTATTTATTTTTACTTATTTAAAAAAAAATTTCTTAATCCTCACCAAAGGATATTTTTCCATTGATTTTTAGGGAGAGTAGAAGAGAGAAAGACAGAGAGAAACATCCATGTGAGAGAAACACATCGATTGATTACCTTCTGCATGAGCCCCGGCCAGGGCCTGGGCAGGGAGAAGCTTGCAACCAAGGTTTGTGCCCTTGACCGGAATCGACCTGGGACCCTTTGGTCCACAGGCCGACGCTCTATCCACTGAGCCAAACTGGTTAGGGCGCCAGCTCCATTTTAAAGTGGTTCCATTTATATTATTACTGTTAAAGAGGAAGGAAAACATTATGAAATTTGCATTCACTGTTAGGCAGGCAGCCTGATGACGCTGGCCAGAGTTGCCTTTGGGGAGAGTTCTTGGCCATGCTCGGCAGCTGCCCTCGAGCTACCTTTTGTGGGGGAAGTTCTGTGATTCCCCCCATAGTAAATTCACCTTTAGAGAAGGCATTTACAGGAGTCATTCTAAATAAATTGTTAAGGTGTTGATGGCACTTGATCTACCTAATTTCATCGTGGTTGACCTTGTGGCCACCCTGTTAGCTCTTAATTATTCTGTAATCTGTATCTTAGTGACTAGACAGTAAACTTGGTTGAGTCATACTATTCAATCCTGACTAGAAAAGAGTTTTGAAATGAAAGCATTGGATTGCTATCCTTCTCCCTTACTCATTTGCCCCCAAGAAACAGAGGGTAGCTCTGGGTCACCTGGAAAAGGTCACACTTTCTATTCTCAGCATTCATTGGGTATTAGAAAATGTTAAACAGGTAAGATTGAGATAGCTGTAGAGTTTTCCAGGTCTTCCATGGATTGGATCATGACACTTCTTCATTTTATGTGAGGTGAAATTCCCAGAACATTAGGCCCATCTAGGCTCAGATAGAAGTATGAAATACTCCTAAAACATCACTGCATTGTTTGGGATTATTTAGTCTCTTGTTGGTGCTACTGCAGTTTCCTCCATAACTGGGCTTCCCTGATTCCACTGATGCTAATCCATTTCCCACAAAGTGATCTTTAACTGTAATCAAATAATTTCTGTCATTCCCTTCCTTCACCGTACAATGGCTTCCCATCACTGATAACTTTTAAAATAAAACCCAAATGCCTTACCTTGGCACCCACAGGCTATGAAAGAGTTTGAGGTTTTAGGAACCTGTATTAAATTCTCACTTCTTCATCTGCCAGTTGTATTATGACTCCATGGGACATAACCTCTATGAACTTTGTAACCTTTATTAGTAAAGGGGAGATTCAAATACTCTATAGGGCATAAAAAAATGAGACACTGTATGTAAAGTACTCTCTCCCTCCTCTCCTTACCTGTCCCACTTCTGCCCATTCTTCAAGGTCCATTTAAAGTCAAAAGAATCAATATCAGAACCCCATCTTCTCTGTGAGGCCTTTCTGAATGACCACAGTCCCGGCCTACACCATTCTTCCAAATTCTCATCATACTTATCTCTGTGCCACCTCCTGCATCCATTATGTTGACCAAATACAATTCAAGAGACACAGGAAGCACTAAAATAACACATAATCTTACCTAATAATAGACAAACATGCAAATTGACTGTACCTTTGCTACGCCCACCAGCCAATTGGATGAGTATGCAAATTAACCAAACAAAGATGGCTGTTAATTTGCATACATAGGCGCCCAGCGGCGATCGGAGCCTGCAATCAGAGCTGAGAGGTCCCTTGCCCAGGCCTAACGCCTTGAGGAGTTAGGCCTGGGCAGGGGCTGAGCGGGCGATGGCGGGGAGCAGGAGCAGAGCCTGTGATGGTGGGGAGCTAGGGGTCTCCTGCCCAGGCCTAACGCCTTGACCACAGGCATTAGGCCTGGGCAGGGGCGGAGCTGGTGATCTCAGGGAGCTGGGGGTCCCCTGCCCAGGCCTAATGCCTAGGCCACAGGTGTTAGGCCTGGGCAGGGGTGGAGCTGGCGATCGAGGGGAGTTGGGTGTCTTCTGCCCAGGCCTAACGCCTTGGCCAGAGGTGTTAAGCTTGGGCAGAGGCGAAGCCAGTGATCGCAGGGAGCAGGGGCAGAGTTGGGGGTCCCCTGCCCAGGCCTAATGCCTCGGCCACATGCGTTAGGCCTGGGCAGGGGTGGAGCCAGCGATCACTGGGATCAGGGGTGGAGCCAGCGATGGCAGGGA